GCTTCTGCTGAGACGCGATCTCGGCCTTCCCTTCGAACGCTCGATGCCCAGACAAGGGCGACCTCTCGCCTCGAGCCTGCGGACAGACCCCATGCTCCCCTCCACCCTACCCTTCCCACCCCGCACGGACCGCGCCCGCCACCATTGCCTGTCTCTTCTCCTCCTCTTCCATCGCCTTCCCGCCCACTCACATATAGATGCCCACGGCGTCATAAAAATCCTTCAAGGGAATGTCGGTCCAGGTTTCCCTCCGTGCCATCCAGAGGGCTGTGCCGCCCCTCCCTCGCCCACCTTGTCCTCCTCTTCTCTTTCCTTCCTCCCTTGCATGATTGGCTGTACATATCGCGGACGATAAGGCTGGGCCAGGACGCGTTATCCACCCGACTTCCGCGTACGTGCTGGCGCTGCTGCCGCTGTTGCTACAACTGCTGCTGCGTAACGCCGGCGATCGAAAAGGCCCGATGCCCACGAAAGATAGGACCGTCCCCTGCAAATTGATTGCGACACAAGGACCGGAAGAATGAGGCGAAATATCACTAGAGAGTCGCGTGCATCGGCCAAGGATAGGGAGGAAGAAAATCGGAGCGGGAAAGCAGCAATGGACCTTACCATTAAAGCGGCCGCAGTTGTTGCCCTCAACGCCATGCTGCTCCTCCCACTTTTTCGCTGCCTTCTTCTTACGTCCATTGCTCTCACACTTCTTAGTGCTGGTCCTGCTCTTTTGTCTGCCGACCTCGACATCGAGTTGCCCCTTCCCTTTCCACTTGACTTGTCTCCGCCTAGACTGCTTTTGCGTTGGTCACGTCCAGCGAGGACAACATCCACCACTACAGAGGGACCTTTAAATTGTTGTAGCAAGAGGTTTTGCCTGAGATGAAGACGAGAAGGGACGGTAGGGAGCAAATGAAGGGATGAGATAGGATGCGATGGTAAAATGACGCACTCGCTCCCTACGGTATACATGAAGAGCGCTTGGCAGCTTCCGACAAGAACATGCCAACACATTATCGGGTTACTCCTGTAGTTTTCTATCTGCTTCGAAAGCATTCACTTTACCAAAGCTTAGCGAAAAGTATTGTCAGGGAATGGATTGGCACGGTGGGAAAAGGCAACATCAATTTGTCGCGTTCAGGGGCCTCGCTCGTGGCTGGCCCCTGAAGGAGGAAACGCAACGAGGCCATAGATACTGGATCTCCCTCGCGACAAAGACAACATCATTTGGCGTTTCTTTCCAGCATATGTCCACGTTATATGCTAATTCAATTTCTTGGTATGGATCCTGCAGCATCAACGAGTCATCTGCCTTTCCCCTGGCCTGGTAGTCTAGTGGACGACCGAATTCTTGCCAATTGGCAACTGGGATGTCCCGGCCCATAAATATGTCTACCGAAGACACGTTCGCGAACAAGAAAAGGAGCATTTCCTCCAGTGTAAGGACTGATAAAAATAGATTAAAGCGCGACAGGAAGTCCCTTTCAGTGATTGCTTTACACCATTTTTGAACGTACGTCGCAAAATAGGAGAAAGGCGTGAAGGAGGATGCTAATTGATTGACAACGCTTTTGCTAGAGTTTCCTCCCGCAGAAACATCCGACGCAGAAACGCAGAAGGTAAATATCATATCTGTGGAGCTTTGGCGGCGCATTACTACCACACAACACTTGCATTATCCCTGCCCACTGATATAGTGAGAGCTCAATTTCAGTGATGGTGCCCCTTGTGGACGGACGATAAAGAAAAGTGCACATTGGAGAAATTACTCACCGACGGAGCAAAATGTAAAATTGACCCATCGAGTCACATTTATTGCGCGTGGAAGCTGGCCATGAATGCTTTGCTCTTTTTTTTGGTTCCCTTCCTCGCTAACAGATTACCTCTTCGAACAATCGTCTTTTCTACCCTATTTTTCTCCACACATCCCTTGAATCCTTCCCTGCGGCTATTCTCCCCTTATTTTTCCCACAAATTTAACCCGCGGCTTTGGTCGAGCGCTCTTTCGTTGCGGCACGACCTCGTACTGTCCCCTTCTTTGCAAAGACACCAGGGTCTCGGACGCCAAATTGCCTTTCGTCCGCACGGTCCGCAGGCTGCCCCCCAATTCATCGGAAAGAGGAACAGGAAAAGACGGGGCCTGCATGGGATTTTTATCCATGGGTAGTAACACTTTCTCCCGGGGTAGATCTCGGGGAACAAAGTGCTGGCTTCGGTGGTTTTTCGGGACGTTCTGGTCATCCGTCTGCCGTTTCCTCTTCGCGCCTCCTGCTTCGGCTTCTCGTCGACGAAGGGCCTTGGCGTATTCTTGCGCCCTGGAAGCTTCTTGCAGCAGGTGCTTCCGTTCTCTTTCTAGCGCGGCTTCGTGCTCCTGGATCTTTCGGCGCCGTTGTTTGTTCCTCTCCGCCTTGGTCTGTTTCCCCTTCCTTCTCAACATCCGCTTCGTCGCCACGCCTGCATCCCCGTCGCTCCTTTCCTCCAATGCCCCCTCTTCCTCTGCATCGCTCTCAGAATCGCTCAATATCAGCGCCTTCGTTTCCTCACTCATGACACTGAGCGGTGCTTTCAGTTTTTCCAACGCTTTTTTCCGCTTTTCCTCCACCGACACCGCAGCCACCAATGCCTGCTGATGGTCCTCTGCTAGAGGATTGTATGACTGTCCTCCTAGCGGCCGCTCGATCAGTGACAATGTAGAGGCAAGAGGCGGTTTCAATGGCCGCTTTTTGGATTTAGGGACGGGGGGGGCTTCACATTTCTTTCCCTTCTTGCTTTTGCCCTTCCCTCCTGTGCTTCCCTTTCCTGCATCCCACATATCGTAAAGACCCTGTTGCTCGACCTTTCCTTTCGACTGTCGATGAATACTGGTTTTCCCTGCTCCATCATCGTCCGGTTTGGCCTTTTTCTCTTTCTGTTGACTTTTGACGATACGCTGTACTGCTTTGACTAGATGCTCAGAGGGCATTGCCACAGAGCTCACTTTCTCACTAAAGAAGCGCCGACGCTTTTCAGCCTTGCTTCGCGTGGGTGGTAAAGTGGTATCAGCGCTGGTGTCTACGAAAAATAGATCCTCGTCCGGCTTCGCTGCGTCCAGAGACTCCTCAACTTGCAGAGCCCGGTCTGCCTCAAATTCCTCCGCCACCGCCTGAAGGCGACGCTTCCGAGCAATATTGCCCTTACGGGCACTATCCAGTCGACCCATGCGATTGCTATCACTATTTTGGTGTGGGTGCTAAGGAGCAAGATTGGGGAATGGGATGTGTAAGGAGAGGAAATGGTGGCGGCCATGGTGGGTGGTCGGAAAGCAGGAACAACCTCCTCGCAAATACTTGGTATCTTGGACGGATTGGATTGCACCTTGAACGCCGAGGCGTTGAATTAGTACACTTTTCACCACGTAGTGACTACTTCAGGCTTATAAATGGTGTTCAGCTGCCCACCATATTGTCTCATCACAAGCTTTACGGCACGACAAAAGCTTTAGGTACCGGATGGCGGGCTGCTCGCGTCGGTTCCACATCCGGGTCGCCTTTGGGGAGACGGGTCACGAGCAGGGAGCTTATTCACTGTCTGCCATTTGTATGCTATGCGTCTCAGTACTTCCTGTCAAAGTGTCATAACTTGAAGATGTCTCTCTTATTTTACGACATAATAGGCACTTCGATAATGAAAGAGAGGACTATATGGAATTTGAGAAACCACGTCAAATTGGGTAACGAAGTTATGCTCGACAAGATGCGTAGTCACAAGTGGACTTTGTCTGTGAAATAGGTTTGTCCTGCATGGTATTGATCCATGTTATTCATTCTCACCTTTCCTTAATGAAGTTAAGAATTCACAACACGTTTGATTCATGCTGTTACAAGAGTATAGCATAGTCACTACAGCCGATGACTCGATCAACTTTGCCCTTTAACGCTCGTTAAGAGCACTCATTCACCTCTGTTTTATGAAGAGAAGACATGGACAACACAAAGGGGTGGAGGAAAATTGAGCTTCGACAAGTCAGAAAAAGGGAGGACCCCGATCATTCAGGTACTGGTTTGTGCATGTATGCCCTGCGAGGACGGGATTTATCGATACCAATTGTACGGGCACAGGATAGCATCATTTCTAATAGATACAATAAATATCGCGACGGTCAGCTATAGGGCGTTGTTACAGCGGTTGATTTGTTCTTTTGCACGCAATGGCTACTATTTGTCTGCCTTTTCCAATTTTCTCTCTTTTTGCTGCAAGGCCACCAAACGCTCTTCTATCGAATGGGCCAACAGCCTTCGACCCTTACTGCTGCTTAGACTGCCACTCCTTCCAATCGAGATGGGTGGGGAGGCTAGAACACTCGAGGCAGGAGCCCGGTGTGCCGGACAAGACCCGGGAGAGGAGGAGGGGGAGGACGGGGGGG